CTGGTCCCCCCCCCCCCAGGCTGGGGGGGGTGGTTTTTTGTTTGGGGGGGGGGGGGGGGGGAGGGTGGGTTGGTCACAAAAGAGTGGGAGTGGGAGCGTGTGGAATGGGTATCTACGAGAAATCCATCACAGGCTACTTTCTCACCCTGTCCCACTTGGGCTTTGTTCCACTTCCAAGTGCCCCTGCCCCAAAGGAGACGTGCGGCCACTTCACTGAGTCAGACAACAGAAACCTGTAGGGAGAGAAAATGATTTCATGTTAGGTCAGATGAATGGATGACTAATCAATTACAAAGTACAATTGACCCTTTTTATAAGTTCAATGTATCATTTACACAAAATACTGTACTTCAATCGTAAAGATTTCAACAATTTCTGCTGCAATGAAAATATTGTTTTAATGAGGGCCAAAATTAAAACATATTGTACTACAGATTAAACCTTAACTTTCAAAAACAAGAGGTATGTTAATATATTTAAGGATGTCAAGCGACAGTCCCTAGTTTTCACACTGCATACCTCAAATATTTGTCTGCAAGTACCACACGAATTTCCAGTATTGCAATACAGTGGGACAGGCCTTCCCTGTTCAGCTGAGATCAGTATAAGAAGATGAGAATTCTCAATAAGATTATTAGCCTTTTATAATTTGCAACTTCGCAAATTCAAATTTGAAACTTCAAGAGCTTTATTAAACAACCAAGAGCCATTTTTTGTATCGGCGTTATTGGCCAATATAGTTCAGAAAATAGACTGTCCAGTGTACCGTTTGAGGGTACTAATACCTTATTTTGAGAACCACAGAACCAAAACAACAAATGTTGACGTCAGCAACATTTGTCTGCTGGTAGGTTTCAGGTTTACTTATCGGCCATTCACACTTTTATAATATTTTTTCATTAAAAAACATTTAGTGGCGTTTGTCGTGAAAATACAGACTTATCTGAATGCGACAAAAAGTGTGGCAACAGTGTTGCGCAGTCAGGAGGTTGTGCCATCGTCTAAGACTTGGGTTCCAAAGAAATGTACCACAAACAGACAGTGGTGAGATCACAGTATTAGTCAGCTGTGACACACTGAGCAGCGGGGTGAGATCATGGGCTGGTTCCCTCAGCTGGATAGCTGTCCTTCCGGCCATAATAGCGTGTTTTCTTGAGACAAAGCTAGAATAAAGTTGCCCAGTTTGCCAGTGGCAACAACAGACCAGCCCCCTCCCCTGGCCCTCTTTTATGGCGTACTAACTAAAACGCTTCACACTGCACAGGCGCACTTCGCCAACAGACACGCTTCAGTGGAACACTACAAATAAACTTACCGAAAACCACAAAGAGGCTCGTTTATCCGACACGACCGTTCGTGTGAAGGGAAACTTACGGACGTCAGAGTTTCCCTTTGAAAAGTGTCCCGTTCTCGGCCGAAGTTTGTTGAGGGAGAGCCGTGAAACAATACCGTCCGTCTCTTTGACCCTTGTGTTATTTATCAAACACCTCGACGGATTAACAGGCTGCTGATAAAGATGTGGAGCGGCCAAGTTTGTCGTCCTCCGTCCTAGTTGTAACGTCGGCTGAATGTCGCCTCACAAGACTTAAAACATCCTCAATCCGCACAGGTTCCGATCCCGAATCGGAGTAGCCGTTACTCGGTCCTCCGCCGTCTGGCCGTTGTTGCTTTTGTTCTTTTTACTGAGAAGTGTTTTTCCCCTGTCCGGTCAGATCGAGGCGAGGCGGAGCTGACGACCAGGAAGCTCGGGAGGCCCAACTGACTCTCCCACAGTGACGGTGGCGTGGGTGGGAGTGCCAGTCTGGGAAGAGCAGCCCCTGGATTGGAGGGAGGAGGTGCTTGTTTCAAAGATCCACACAAGTGGGCTAAATATTTTCACCCCAGTCTGCCACCAACAACACCGACCCCCTCCACCCCGTACCTCTGGCACAAGAATCCTGTTGATATCAGATGGTGTATTTGCCCAGATTTAGATGAATCCCCGAGTCTCATTATACAGAGACCAACAGAAAATTCACAGTTTAAGTACTTTTCATGAAGTACATGTAACTTGTATAATCCGCACTTTGGCCTTGGACTGACCTGGCACTCGTGGCCTTCCTGGTCTCAGTCTCAGTCTTTTTATACTCACTGTGTCAAAACCTCAACACTGACATTTGTATTAATTAATATTGTCTCTTGTTGGTAAATCAAAGTTGACCAGATCAGCAGCAAAAATGTATTTTTATCCAGGTTAGTCCTTTTTTTGTTCCATAGTTCCATTTAATCAACATCAATTGAACACACTGGCGTAAATACCTGCCTTGGAAAACATGTTTTTCCTTTGCTGAATGGTCTGACTTTTTAAACCCCTCCTGCAGTGTATTTTGGCTCAGCAGGGTGCTGGGCTCCATACCCTGGGAAACTGTGAATTTATCATTCCTATATTCCAGGCCTAGTCACGAATGCCAAACAATAAAGACCGACTGACACAAGGCATCAAAGGAGTCAAAGGAGTCAGAGCCCAAAGGAAGTAGACTAGTCTAACAAACAGTTGTCAGAGAAATCTTATGGACTCTCATATTAGGCTCTGATCGTGTAAACAGACCATACCAGGATTAGGTACAGATGTGTCACTGCTAATTTTATTTTTTCTTATTAGTGTATTATTTTTTTTCTGTGACACGTCAAAGACTGCTTCAAAATTCCTAACTTTTTTTTTATCGTATTGTTTCTTAAGAACAAACTGTTTTGTATGACTCATCAGGAAGAGCTGAATCCTAGCACGTCCCTGAACACGACCCCTCCCGCTCCCACTCTTGCCAGCACTCTGTTATCTCAGTGTAGCATTCACCTCTGGCTACGAGGCAGAATCCACCTTCAGGGAATTTTTCTGGCAACTAAAAGAAAGCAAAACTATGACCAACCTGGAAGGGGAGGGTGGGGGTCAGACGACCTAAAATGTTTGAAGTACTTCGTGCCACAGGAGGTAACACTCCCTCTACCAAAAGGTTAAAAAACCTTCAGGATGTTACTCAGACATTAAAAATGACACATTTCAATGTGAAACTGTCAGAATCTCGTACTGAATTTAAACTTCCTGTATGGGATTAAACATAATCTCAATGTAGACTTAATCTAGATTTAAAACCTCACCATCAAAATACTACAGTAGTCGACATTTGATTGTGGATTTATAGATTAAACATTCTTCCAGACTTCATGTAAATGATTAATCACACAAGCATAGGATTCAACTTCATAAAGTACGGTACACATACTCTTCACATCTTCTTTTCACATATTCCTTCAAATACAAAAAAAATTTAGTAATAGTTAACATTTCTTCATTAACTCGAGTCTTATTAGCTGGTAATTACTGAAGCAGCTGAGTATAAAGTGTGTGTATGATGGCAGAAGGTACAGAAAATATGTAAATATGCAAAAAAAATATAGTAAATATAAAGTTAGTTTAAAGCTTTGGTAGTGTAGTTGATATTAAAGGTCCAACTTCAGATGCTACTTAACTGTGACTTTAAAAAATGTCAGTAACTGCCAAGTTGAGTTGTTATTTAAGACAGACTTTCTAACTTTATCATCTTGTATGTTCATATGTTCAGGTTTCTCTGACAGACTTCTTTAGTTTGTAGACCATAAACAACCAAGGAGGAATCGTGGAGGGGGACAAAGAGGCGGGGGGATTTGAGGACTGCTCATATCCTTTCTGGTGTGCAAAGGCCTCCGAAGATCCCTGAGGTATTTCAGAGAAGAGTGGGGTAAGTGTTAAAAGTTCTTTGTGTATGGTATTCTACAGATTGACCACAAGATGGCACCAACTCCCACGAATTCTCCCAAACGGAGTTAGATACTGTGTGCCTGTGTTTAAAAAAGGTGATTTTAACCACTGATAACAATTGTTCACAGCTGAAGTTAGTGGGGGTCAGACGACCTAAAATGTTTGAAGTACTTCGTGCCACAGGAGGTAACACTCCCTCTACCAAAAGGTTAAAAAACCAAAATTCAGGATGTTACTCAGACATTAAAAATGACACATTTCAATGTGAAACTGTCAGAATCTCGTACTGAATTTAAACTTCCTGTATGGGATTAAACATAATCTCAATGTAGACTTATCTAGATTTAAAACCTCACCATCAAAATACTACAATAGTCGACATTTGATTGTGGATTTATAGAAAAAGGTTTTTATCCATATCTGGGTTGAGACCCACCGTTTGACAAGCACGGACTTAGAAAGAATGCATTTACTGCTTTTAAACATTAAGGTAGAATCCTGAACTGTACTTCAATAAAAAGAAAACAATATTTAATGACATATGATCAAACATTCTTCCAGACTTCATGTAAATGATTAATCACACAAGCATAGGATTCAACTTCATAAAGTACGGTACACATACTCTTCACATCTTCTTTTCACATATTCCTTCAAATACAAAAAAAATTTAGTAATAGTTAACATTTCTTCATTAACTCGAGTCTTATTAGCTGGTAATTACTGAAGCAGCTGAGTATAAAGTGTGTGTATGATGGCAGAAGGTACAGAAAATATGTAAATATGCAAAAAAAA